AACCACGGCCGACCCGCACCAACCGACCCACGCAACAACCTCCAATTGCGGCCGACCCACTTCTGATCCACAGCAGACACGCGCAACGCTGACAGCGCCCGACGGCTCCCGACGCCGTTCCGACGACGCCGCCGCCGTTGCGACAGGTGCCCGGCTGGCGCCCGACGGCCGCCCGACGGCGCCCGACGCCATTCCGCCTACGCCGCCGCCGTTACGACAGGTACCCGACTGGCGCCCGACGACCGCCCGACGGCGCCCGACGCCGTTCCGACGACGCCGCCGCCGTTACGACAGGTGCCCGGCTGACGCCAAAGGGCCGCCCGACGGCGCCCGACGACCGCCCGACGGCGCCCGACGCCGTTCCGACGACGCCACCGCCGTTACGACAGGTACCCGGCTGGCGCCCGAGGGCCACTCGACGGCGCCCGACGGCGCTCGACGCTCGTCCGACGACGCCGCCGCCGTTACGACAGGTGCCCGGCTGGCACCCGACGGCAGCCCGACGGCGCCCGACGGCATCCGACGCCGTGCTGACGACGCCGCCGCCGTTACGACAGGCGTCCGGCTGGCGCCCGACGGCGCCCGACGCCGTTCCGACGACGCCACCGCCGTTACGACAAGAAACCCGGCTTGCGCCTGACGACAGCCCGACGGCGCCCGACGCCGTTCCGACGACGACGCCGCCGTCACGACAGGTGCCCGGCTGGCACCCGACGGCAGCCCGACAGCGCCCGACGGCAACCGACGCCGCTCCGACGACGCCGCCGACGCCGTTATGACAGGTGCCCATGGCCTTGCCGACACAGGTGGCTATGACAAACCCCGACCCACAATCGACCCACATGGCATTACTTCATGCACCAATGGTGCACTCCAGATGGGGCGGAAATTCGGGCAGTTGTTCACGACCATAACCCCCATTAGCCGTCACACACATCTCTACGGCACCCTTGTATGAGGAATCTTTTTTACGAAAAAACAATGACGAATCCAGACTAGGGAGTCCTGCTGGAGCGGTGGGTGCGGTGCGCGCGTGGACCGACACTACGTCGCTTGGACAGTGCTGTTTGGGCTCCCACTGGCACTCTTTGGTCTGATTTTCGGCTGGGGGGGGGCACGATTTGTCCGCCCACCGCCCCCCCTGGGGGCTCCACACCCGCGGGGGCAGGAGTCCGCCTCTCTCCCGCTTCTTTCTCCTCCGCTCCCCTCCTCTTGCTGCTGTTGTTGCGGGTTCCGCCCGCCCTCCTTCCTCTCCCGTCGTCTCTGCCCCTTTCCCTCTCCTCCCCTGCCCTCTGCCCTCCTCTGGCTGCTGCTGTTGCTGCTTCCTTCCTCCCTCCCACCTCCCCCGTCGTCGTCGTCGTCGCTGTCGTCGTCGGGCGCGGCCCTCTGCCCTCCTTGGGTTTGTGGCCCCCCTGTGGGGGGGGGCATCTGAGGCAGTGGCCTCCGAGCCCGCACGGGGCGGCCTGGCCGGCGGAGCAGTCGTGGCCATTGCGGCCCGGGGCGCTCGCGGGAATGCGGTTTCACCTTTCCTCTGCCCTCCTTCCTCCCGAATTCAGTGCACGAGCCCGGAGCGGGTCGTTGCGCTGACGGGCCCTTGGAAGGCCAGCAGATTTTTGCCCGTCTCCAAACGCCCATCGGCTTCCACCCGCCCTGTGGACGGCTACCGCTGCTACCCCGGAGGCTTTCGCACTGACTGGGGTCGTGCGTTTCCCCCGTCCTTTCCATCTTCTTTTTTTTTTGGGTTCTCTCTCTCTCTCTCTCTCTTTCTCTCTCTGCGCTTGCGCTGCCGTGGCCATGTGTGCGCCTAGACTTCCGAGCAGTCGGGCGATGATTCCCGCGGTCTTTTAAAAGCAGCTCTAGTGCCCACCAGCCCCAGGGCGCGCGCGACGGCTCGCCTATTGCAGGTTGGCCTGGGCGCTGCTCCTGACGTTGGCTGGTATCTCTTGTCTCGCTCCCCCTCCTCCTCCTCCTCCTCCTCCTCCTCCTCCTCCTCCTCCTCCTCCTCCTCCTCCTCCTCCTCCTCTGCATTCGGGCACATTTCAATCGTCTGCCTCGTACTGGGCTGCGGTCATTTCAAACGTTGTGCGTTGCCAGATTACATGGATGGTGGGCCAGATCATTGGAGGTTGTTATTATGTCGTAGTTTTGGCGGTCCGGTCATGTTTGTTTCTCCTCACTGACTGGGGTGACTCGGGTCCGCAGCCTAATACTTGCTTGTCTGTGTTCCTCCTCTATTCCGCTTCTCTGCTTTCCCCGCGGCGGGAAAAGAACCACGTTTTGTTGGGAGAGTGTTCTCCCAAGCAGTTGCGGAAAATCGCCCGCGCACCGAATCCGTGACATTTGTTTGTGCCACTGATGTCCTGGCTGGATTTGTCCGCCGGCGGCGTTGCAGGCAGCTGACGGCGAGTGGCTTCTGGCTGGTGCTTCGCATGTTCCCTGACCTCCCCCCCCAAAAAACAACAAAAAAACATGAGTTAGCCGATCAAGCCTGGCTAGAACTCGAGCGCGCGCGAAGCGAGCGCAATGTTTCTAGTATATGAATTTGTATATGTATATATATATGTGTATATGTAAGTGAATATGTATATGCATATGTATATGTATATGTGTATGTGCATGCATATGTATGTGTATATGTATATGTATATGTATATATGTATGTATTTGTATTTGCATATTATAATATATATATGTGTATATGCACATGTGTATATATGTGTGTATGTGTATAGGTATGTGCATACGTATACGTATGTGTATATGTACATGTATATGTATATGTATAGGTATGTATTTATGTATATGCATATGTATATATATATATGTATTTATGTATATGTATATGTATATGTGTATGTATATGTATATGTATATGAATATGTATATGTATATGCATATGTATATGTATATGTGTATGTACGTATGTATATATGTGTGTATGTGTATATGTATGTGCATATGTAGATGGATATGTATATGCATATGTATATGTATATGTATATGTAGACGTATGTATATTTGTGTATGTGTAAATATGTATATAGAGGTGTATGTGTAAATGTATGTGTATATGTATGTACATTTGCATATGTATATGTATATGTATATGTATATGTATATGTATTTGTATTTGTATGTGTATGTGTATATGTACATGTATATGTACATGTATATGTAGGTAAGTATATGTATATGTATTGTAACACAGTGTCTTGTAACTTCACGTACTTCGTAATATATGATAGAAAACCGTCAGACAATATGCTGAGGGCGAGAATTCCCAATCAGGATTTCTTGGTCGAGGATTGCGAGGGGCTTACGGCCGGCGCCGCCGACCCTGAAGGGGAACGACGACAACGGCGGTGGCGGCGACGACGACGACGACGCTGACGTGGGTCAGAGTCCTCGTGGATGCCTCTTGGGGTCTCTTCGAAGCGCTCTCGGGGGCCTCTGGGAAACAGTTTAGGGGCCTCTCGGGAGCCTCTTGGGAGCCTCTTTGGAGCCTCTTGGGGGCCTCTCGGGGCTTCCTGGGGGCGTCTTGGGGGCCTATTGGGGTCGCCGATTTTGGATCGTCATGGTGCGCTCGGCACGCCGGGGACGGGTGTCCAGCGCCGATCCAAGAAACCCTGGCTGACCTCCAGGCGACGTGGCGCCAGCGGGCCCACCAACTCCTCCTGGAAGCCGACGGTCGAACAGGAGGAGGAGGAGGAGGCGGAGGATGAGAAGGAGCAGCTGGACCCTGACGCCCCCGCGATGTGAAAAGATCGCGCGACGGAGAATTGTTTGACGGTTTCTGGCCTCTGGGGATTCATACGGGGCCCCCGGGACCGTCAGAAGATGATCCGGGGTGGTAAGACGAAGTTTGGAGAAGAGGTCCTGACCCCAGGGAAACGACGTCGGATGCCGCGGGGAGGAGGAGGAGGGATCCAGGATCGAGGAGGTCTGGGACCGTTTGGGGCTGGCGTGGGGGTCCCGCGAGGGGCCCATGGGGGTCCAGGAGGCGCTTCCTCGGGGAGTTGGCGACCCCCTGTGGTGGCGACCCCCCCCCCGCCCGGGAACTCACGGGGCAGAGGGGGAGGGGCCTCTCTCGAAGAAGAGGCACCATCACACACGCATGAAGAGCTGCCCGGGAGCCGCGCGGGCTCTTCCGACGCCGAGACGGCGCTCGGCGCCGACGGGGGGGTCGGCCGATCCCCCCTGGCCGACCCAGGCTTGGGGCGGCACGTGAGCGACGCAGAAAAACCAGGTCGTCCCGACATCGGAGCGTAGGCTGCCCGCGCGCGGTCGGGCGTGAGCGCCCGCGGTGCCAGCGTGGCCTGAGCGCCTTCGTTGCCGACGGGGTGCAGGTGCCCTCGGTGCTCTTGGCTGACCCGGGTTGGCGCTGGCCCGCTGGGTCGGCGCGTGCGCCCCCCAGGGAGGAGGGGGAGGAGGAGGAAGAGGAGGAGGAGGAGGAGGAGGAGGAGGAGGAGGAGGGGGAGGGGGAGGGGGAGGAGGAGGAGGAGGAGGAGGAGGAGGAGGAGGAGGAGGAGGAGGAGGAGGAGGAGGAGGAGGAGCGTCCGCGTCCCCCCAGGCTTTTCCCGAGACGGGTGCAGGAAAAATGGGTACGACGCACAGCAGGAAGCGTTGTGCAAAACCGACAGCGGAAGCTGTTGGGCAGGCGGCCTTCCGCCCCCAAGATGGCAGTGCCCACAGCGGGACCGACAGCGAGTCTCGCTCAAAGTGGGCAGGAATTGCTGTCAGGCGTCGAATTCGGGGTGGGCATGATTCCCTGGCCCCCTCGCGTCGTGCTTTTCTAAGCGCGGTGGGAGGTTTGCGGGGCAGTCTTCTTCGGCCTTTGCGGCACCAGAGCCAGGCGAGGGCCCCGGATCGAAGGCGGACTTCGTATCGGGCAGGGGTTCCCGTGGGGGCAGTCTCGGATCCTGCCGCCGGCTGTCGCCAAGGGCTGGCGATAGACGTCGGCCAGGGCCGACGGCGGCAAGAGACCAGGAGGGCCGCCGAGGATGGCGGCCAGGGCCGACGGCGGCAAGAGACCAGGAGGGCCGCCGAGGATGGCGGCCAGGGCCGACGGCGGCAAGAGACCAGGAGGGCCGCCGAGGATGGCGGCCAGGGCCGACGGCGGCAAGAGACGAGGAGGGCCGCCGAGGGCCGCCGAGGGCCGCCGAGGGCCGCCAGCAGCGGATGCCAGGTGGTGGAAGCCCTGGAGCCGGCTGGGCCTGGCGCTCGGCCAGCTGTCGGACGACGGGGCGCCACAGGAAGCTATGCAGGCCAATGTCGTCGGCGTCGTCGTCGTCGCCGTCGTCGTCGTCGCCGTGATCAATGATCGTCGCAGTCGTCGGCGGCGGCGTCGGCGTCGGCGGCGGCGGCGGCAGCGGCGTCGGCGTCGGCGGCGGCGTCGGCGTCGGAGTCGGCGTCGGCGTCGGAGCCGGCGTCGGCGGCGGCGGTGGCGGCCTCGCCGCGTGGCGTCGGCGTCGGCGTTGGCGTCGTCGTCGTCGGCGGCGGCGTCGGCGGCGGCGTTGGCGTCGGCGTCGGCATCGGCGTCGGCGGCGGCGGCGGCGGAGGCGTCGCCGCGTCGGCGTCGGAGGCGGCGGCGGCGGCGGCGGCGTCGGCGTTGTCGTCGTCGGCGACGGCGGCGTTGGCGGCGACGACAGCGGCGACGACAGCGGCGTCGGCGGCGTCGGTGTCGGCGTCGTCGTCGTCGTCGTCGTCGTCGTCGTGGAGTCCCTCGCGGCGGGGCCCGAAAGCGGGGCCCTTGGGATCGAAGTAAAGTCGCATTGGCAGAGATTTGGGCGCTCGAATCTCCACAGATTCGAGGGCCTGGGGGCCTCGACCCTCACCGAACCCCGACGTCGTGACTCCTTCACATCGCCCACCCCCAGAGGCCTGGGCCAGGACTGGCTTCTCGCCCCGAGCCACTGTTGGACGGCTCCGTGGCCCGGCGAGGGCCCTGGAGGCCGACAGCGGCCAAACACCGCCCGCCGTGTTCTTGTCCACGCGAGGAGCCCTCGTGGCCAGAGGGGGAGAGGCGCCGCTGGCGGTGGTGGTTATTGTGGTGGTAGTGGTGGCAGGTTGTGGTGGTGGTGGTGGTGGCTGTGGCGGTGGTTGTGCGGTGGTTTCTGGTGGTGGTGGTGGTGGTGGTGGTGGTGGTGGTGGTGGTGGTAGTTGTGGTGGTGGTGGCGGGTTGAGGTGGTGTGACCGCGACGGCGGCGACAGCGACGGCGACAACACCATCGCCGCCGACGGCGGCGGCGGCGACGGTCGTGGTCGTGGTCGTGGTCGTGGTCGTCGTCGTCGTCGTCGTCGTCGTCGTCGTCGTCGTCGTCGTCGTCGTCGTCGTCGTCGTCGTCGTGGCCGTCGTGGTGGTGGTCGTCGTCGTAGGGAAGGGGGAGGGGGAAGGAGGAGGAGGTGGAGGAGGAGGAGGAGGAGAGGAGGAGGAAGAGGAGGAGGAGGAGGAGGAGGAGTGAGGAGGAGCAGGAGGAGGAGGAGAGGTGAGAGGAAGAGGAAGAGGAGGAGGGAGGAGAGGAGGAGGAGGAGGAGGAGGAGGACGACGACGACGACCCCGAGGCCTGCCTCGAGGCCACCGCGCTCGAACCCTCGCGCGAGAACGTGGCGTCCCTGCTGCGGGCCGCCGCCACCCGGGGCGCTCGCGGCGCGGGCGCCGCCCACGCGGAGAAGGAGCCGCCAGCCACGGTTCCGCCTCATCCTCCGCCTCCTCCTCCTTCGCATCCTTGTTTTTCCCTCATCCTCCTCCTCCCTCCTCCTCCTCCTCCTCCTCCTCCTCCCCCTGCTCCTCCCCCTCCTCCTCCTCCTCCTCCTCCTTTTTTCTCCTCTCCTCTCCCTCCTCCTCCTCCTCCTCCTCCTCCTCCTCCTCCTCCTCCTCCTCCTCCTCCTCCTCCTCCTCCTCCCTGTTCAGCCGCCGTCCCAGTTCGAGGGTGTTGGGCGTTACCAAGTAGCGGACCCTCACCTCCGGGACAGCTGCCATACGCGCCGCGCGTGCGCAGCCCGCCATAGCGCTGCGTTGTGGCTGTGACAGACCCCACCGCCACGCAGGCCGTGCCCTAGAGCCGGCGTGGCACAGGAGGGCCAGAGCAGAGAAATCACGTGCCCGAGTTATCCTCCGAGTGGAGGCGGCGCGCCAGCTGCTACTAAATACGATATCGCAGCAGGCAGCAAGAAGGTCCAAGCGGCATCATGAAGAAGTCTTCGGACTCCTGGTCACCACCTGGGTCACCGTGGTCCTGTGGCACTTGTTTCAGCAAGACCTGGTACGAGCGCGTCGACTGTCGGCAAAGTGGCTCGCCCCAGCCAGTAGCCCCGCCATGGCGCCGTACTCCTCGTCGATCAGGCAACGCACCGCCAGAGAGTGCCCGTGGCAAGGGCAAGCGCAAGGCGTCGCTGAGGGACAAGGGTGCCACGATGATCACGGACAAGGAAAAAGATAACAACAACAAGGACAATCATATCGAATTGGGTGCTGTTGGTGGCTCAATGGTTGCCTAGGACAATAATCAGGACTCGAGGTCGCAGGACATGTACGCTTCGGGCGACGAAAGGTCGGCCAAGGAGCTGTTGCACATTCGTCCCGCCCTTCCTCTCAGGCGGCTCGTCAGCATTCGCGTTGGCGTGTCCGCCTGGGTCCCAGGCGACCGACGGCGAAGTGGAGTGCTACAAGGAGCAGGTCTCGGCACGGCTGGAGGTTTTGAATGCGATCATCCTCGACAGGTACGACGCTGGAGAGGAGTGCGAAGATGCTGCGCTGGAGTTCGCGACGACGTTTACCAAGCTGTTCAGAGCGAGGGGCCTGAAGTCGCAGTTTGACAAACAAGAAAAAGCTCGAGATCGAGCAGAACGTCGTCTCCAGAAGTCAGAAGATGTGCTGGTCGAATTGCAGACACCGGTGAAGCAGGCGATCGTGGACGTGGATATTGCGAAGCGCGATCTGGAGCACATGAGCCAGACCATCACCGAGCTGAAGGCCCTGATCTAAGCACAGACCGAGGCGACCAAGAAGCCACCAGAGGCTGCGACATCGGCTGCGGTGCGTGCGGGTGGCGAGATCAGCGCCCCGCCTGGCCCGACGCCCATCGCGGCCCTAGGAGCCCTTGCGGCGCTCCAGGCCCAGATCCCGGCGATGACGGCCCAGCTCCAGGGCATGACAGAAGCCACAAACCAGCTCCAGATCCAGGCTGGTGGCGGAGTCAATGTTCCAGTGCCGCAGCCACAAGTGGGATTCGCCAACCCAGAGGCCCAGCAGGCGGAGTCGACAAGTGCGGGCGCAGGTGCAGCGACCCAGGCGGCAGCGACGGTGACGGCCCCACCGGCGGCTGCAGCGGCAACAGCGGCACTTGGCGCGCCAGGCCCAGGCACGCTTGCAGCCGATGCCCCCATGAAGGCCCCGCGGGGGCAGAGGGCCTCGAGCAGGCCGCCAAGAAGGTCCCCGAGCAGAGCTCCCAGCCAAGAACCCAGACGGAGGATGCATCGGTCTTCCTTTCGGAATGCAGCTCGCGAGGTCTTGTCGGGAAACAGGAGGCGGCCGTCGCTCCTCCCGCGCGTCGCGAGCCTCCTAATCATAATCGGTCTGATGCGGAAGCCCACGTGACGATGATGGAACAGCAGCCGCTCTCGTTGCCTGACCTTCTTTTTCCTCTCCAGCGCAAGAAGCTGTTGCGCTGCCGCGACGGCCGTGGCCTTTCCAAGTTCAGACGTTGTGTGATAATGCTGTCTCTGAGTATGTGTCATCCAGCTACCTCCTCTGGGCTGCAGAAGTTCCCCCGCGGCCCCTCTTTCCCCCCTCGCGCGCTCTGGCGGACAATGATGGAAAAACGGCGGTGCTGAGAAGACGGACATATCATTCGTTCTCGATTCGACCGTCTTGCTTTCTGATGTGCACCTCGATGGTTCCAGAACGCTGGGAGGTATTATCTCGGATCTGGTTCCTGAGGAGGCGGTGGTGGGTCTCTTCGCCCTACCGCTCTGACGCGGCGGAGACCAAGGCTGCGACGCGGGCACAGGCATGGACTGCGAAGGATGACCTAAGCGACGCGCCGGCCACCCCTGGACTCGACTCTATGCGTTGTGGATTTTTGTCGCCCAGGTCCACGGTGCAGTTTCCGTCGGTTTCCCATGCGACTGTCGGGGAACACGTTCGCAATCACCAAGGGGAAGGGTACTATGAGCTGGGCGACCCGAGCGCACGTCCCACGGGCATGGGACTGTTGCCCGGCATGGAGACCACGCCGCTTGCCGAGCTGCTTTTTGATTATTCCTCTCTCGCGTGGGCCTGGCTCTACGAGGAGAGCACCGATGGCTTGCGCTGCGTCGCTGACCCTGACGACTTGAGGTCAAGGGAGTGCCCTTCGGAGCATTTCCTAGTTCAGGACGTCATCGGGGCCCTGTGCAACGCCGATAACGCCCCCACTCAGGACTTAAACGGCTGTTGGTTTGAAGGTCCCAGTGTTCTGACCCCCCAGGGGAACAGCGAGTGCGAGAAAGCGCCCCGAGGGACGCGCGGGCCTATCGGGCCCCTGGAGGTCATCGGCCTGCAACCCCTTGGACACAGGTGCGTTCCCTTGCCACAGGTGCGCGCGGCGTTCAACGTTCGCGCGCTTCCTTCCCAGCGTCTACATGGGCGGAGTCAGCCGAGTCACCCTATGCGCGCGCGATTGCTCACTGTGCAGATTTCGCTCGCGAGCCCCTCCTCCCTGACGACCCTCGTCGACAGGGCTGGGTAAGTGAAAGAACGTCTAAGCTACTGGAGTTCCGGAGGCACGTGCGGGCGACCTACCACGCGCGGACTCGGAGGACCCTTAGGGGCGTGCTTCGACTTGCGCGTCTGTCTTGGACGTCGCTGGAAGTACAGATGCATGAGGGGGTCGGGGGAAGCCCCCAGGTCCTCGGTGGGCCCTGCCATCTTCGAGGTCTGCAGCGGCGGCAAAAGCAGCGGGGGATGATCGAGGCGTTTCTCTCCCTGGTGGGGGTCCTGCGGAGGACTGCTCGTCGCCGTCTTCTCGTTGCCCAAAGGTTCCTGACGGTGCCCGGCTGTGACCATTGCGTGGAAGCGTGCCAGGCCATCAGAGACATGCGTTCTCAATCAGATGAGGTGTCGGGGCCTCTGCTTGAGGTGCAGGTGGTTTCTCCTGAGTTTTCTGCCCCAGCTGCTGGCCGATGTCCGCGGCCCCTTCAGTGCGCAGTTCTTGTAAACATGCAGTTGCTCTCAGGAGCTAGGCATTCAGGGGACGTGCAGATGGAATCGGAATGTGTCTTGTTGTCGGCTCTTGTTACCATTGGCGAAAGATTGCGCGTTGTGGTTGGTGACAATGGCTATCTACTGCGCGTGGGTATAAGTTGCAAATGGGACTTGTTTCTGTGAACAGGACGCGTGATCTCCCTTCCATATGCGATGTCATCGGCTGCGAGTTGGCAGGAGCTAAAAGTTGCTGGCTGGAATCGACCACCATTTCTTTTTCACCAGCGTAAGCACATATTTGATGGTCCTGTTGTTCTTGTCGGCTCTCAGCCCCTGCCAAGCCAGCACCAGGCGATGCGAACGTGTTTTGCAGTAGGAGCACATGTTCGGAACGTGCACCTTGAAGTTGCACGCGGGAAGGAGAGAGCACCAAACTCTTGGCAGACGTTCACGTACCCTCAGGGCATTGATGCAGTGATGTCCGGTGAAGTTGCCCGATGCGTGGACGAAGCGCACCGTCTACGGGACATGGATGGGCTTGATTCCAGGGATCAACCTGACGAACTGAGTGTGTATGTTTATGGGGTTCTGACCCACATGCTAACAGCATTGCGGAGGAGGGGGCCGATACAGCTCCTAGATTTTCTTGGATTCGGAGCCAAAGGGCCCAGGGGTGCCCGTTTTGACCGCCCGTGAGCCCAGTCTAGTGCCCCTCCCACGGCTCATGTGGAGCCCCTGAAGGTCGGTCTTGGTCTGCGCCATGGGGACTCCGACAACCTGGCCAGCGGTGTTGGACCCTGGGGACGAGATGGGTTTGCTAGGGGCTCGTGAGGCTGCTACGGGCCCGCGGGGTTCCCACCTCTCTCTCTCTCCTCCTCCTCCTCCGCTCCTCCACCTCCTCCTCCTCCTCCTCCTCCTCCTCCTCCTCCTCCTCCTCCTCCTCCTCCTCCTCCTCTTCCTCCTCCTCCTCCTCCCGCCTCCCTCCTCCTCCTCCTCCTCCTCCTCCTCCTCCTCCTCCTCCTCCTCCTCCTCCTCCTCCTCCTCCTCCTCCTCCTCCTCCTCCTCCTCCCCCCCCCCCGCCCGAATCGGGCTCATGGAAGCTCTCTGCTGCTTGGTCCAGGTGAGGCAGGTGATGGTTCGGTTTCGACGTGATGTGCGACGACCCCTCCCACCTGGAGGCTTGTTTTATTGTGCTGCCTGCCCCCCCCGTTCCCGGGAGTGGTTGGGAGAGGCAGGCCCAGGCTGAGCGGCGGGGTGGTGGGGTCCCGCGTTTGTCCTCCTGTTCTTTCTTTTGTCTTGCCCTCAGGTGATGCACCCAAACATGTTGTTGTCGGTGAGCCCTCATTGGTCATAATGGTCCTCCTCCTCCTCCTACTACTACTTTTACTCCTACTCCTACTCCTCCTCCTCCTCCTCCTCCTCCTCCTCCTCCTCATCCTCCTCCTATTCCTCCTCCTCCTCCTCCTCCTCAGTATCTCTGATCCTCCTG